TGTGCTTTATTCTGTGTTATTTTAATGACCTGGAAGATTTCAGAAGGAATTTATGTTAGCTAATACACAGCCAAACTTACAGTTACAGAGCTTGTGATTGCAATTCACCTGTTCTTTTGGGGGATAAAATCTCTGAAAATGAGAGTCAGGTAAATATTTCTAAACTGTATTTTCTGTATGGATACTTCATTTAAAAAAAAAAAAAGTAGTAGTTTTGCAGTGTTTCATCATCTCACATTACAGATGTAACCAGGAAATGTGGAGAGCTGCAATAATGAAGTGAGGCTTTTTTTGTGGTTTTTGGCTGTTCACTTTTCATTTGTACTTAGCTGTATGGTCAGCAATGACCTCAAAATTAAGTGATTAATTTTCTGAAATTTTTACTCCTTGTGTGCTTATTTCTTTGTCTTACGGACCTAAATTTTTATCTGAGCACGGACAAAAGAGGACAGGCTTTGGGAGGCTTTGTGGAGAGCTGTCGTCTTGCATATCATCAACGGATTAGAAGTTTGGGAAAACGTTCTTTATTACAAAAGACTTAAGGACCAAATTCTGCCGAGGTGTTGGTATGGCGGTGACATGAACATAGTTTTCCTTGAAGAGAGAGAATAGATAGGGGTTCACAGTGCCAAATATCAGCTGCATTTGAGAGTAAATCTGTTAAACGCCTGCTTTTCACTCCAGGCAGTGATTCAGACTTTTTCTTATTTTATCCCCTGCAGTTAACCCACCTGCCCTGGAGCAGCCTCTGTGCAAGGCCATGGCAGTTTCGTGCTACAAGGTTAAGAGAGTGGAGCATCTTACTCTCCTATCCTGCAGGAGGACAGGGCAGATACGGTGGGAGTTTTTTGGCCACCTCTACTGCATCATCTTCTCCTAGAAGCTGATGCAGTAGGGGAGGCAGGAGGGGCAAGGAGGTGGGCACTGAAAGAAAGGATGCTGCTGCCCTGCGTGTTCAACAGGACCCAGACTCCTGCCACGCTTGTCCATTGATCACCGTCAGCTTCAACCATGATGTTTTAAGGAAGCAACCAAGTTGCTTTGAGGGAGCCAGCTCTAGGGCTGAAACAACATACTCGTGTGCATGCTGGTGGCTGCTCAGGGCCCGTCCAGAGCAGCTCATGGGATGCTGTTTTTCTGCATTACGCTCTTACGGCCCACAACTGAAGCCAAGTTTCTGTGTGTTTCCTATTATCACTGGTTTGCTTTATCCATGTTATTCCACCTATGCTCCCTCTTTTCTAGAGAAAGAGTCAAGAATAGTAATACGTAATTAGTACTGCTGATGTGAGTCCATAGCCCTGTTCTTCGATTTGCCCTTGCACATCGGCGCAATGCTGTTCTTGCTGAGCTAATATTTGAATAGAAAATAGAGTGGAATTTAGTCTGAGTCAAAAATCAAGACGAGCTGTCTGCACATTCAATTAGGCATGAAATAGTGAAATCGGTCTTTATTCCTATTCATTGGCTATTACATTAAAAGGTTTCTCTTCTAATATGTACTTATGTATGCAGCCCGCTTTATGTGGCTTTTACCACATATGAAATTGAGAAGTTATAATCAAGACAGTAATAACCCTGGATGATTAAAAGTAACTTCTGATTGTTTTGGCTTTGGTCAAATGTATGACCTGAAACTGCTGACTCAAGACAAAACGAAGTGAATAAACTCGTTCACTAACAGCTACAATTGCTCTTTAACCAGCAGGGAAGGGGAGTTTAGCTGAAGGTTTCGAAGCAATTCTGAAGCGGTCACGGTCACATTTGCAAACAACAGTAAGTGCCTCCAACCCTGTTTCTGGCATTGGTTTCAGATTCACAGTGCAGGAGGGAAGAATAAATTCATGAAACTCTTAAGGAGGTGGTCATGGGACATGTCACAGTTTGGGCACCCATCTTAACTCATTTGCGGTGATCTGTGTTATCATCATACTATTGCAGTCACCTAAAATATATAGGGAACTGGACTCGTGTTTTTAAATCTGTTCATCCCCATGGGCTGACAACGGAGTTGCCCTTTCCTTCTGCACCTGCCCCTGCTGGATGCTTTAGAGCCAAAACCAGAGGAACTAGGTAGGAAAAAAGGGTTTTGGCAACAAGTGCTGTATCGCTGGTTACCTGATATCGAGAAAGGCTCCAAGATGATGAGCAGTAATTTTAGTTGCCTCATTCTAGGCTACGCTCATCCCTAAACACAGCTACATACCGAGTATGGTTTGTATGGTGAAACTGTACTGGTGTGTATTTAAAAAAAAAAAAAAAAAAAAAAAAAAAAAAGAAAAAAAAAATTTTTTTTTCACCCCCCAAGATAGACCGCAACTTTTTAAAAACTTGCTGCTGTTTCTGTTGTTAAAGGCACGCTGATAATCCTGTGGAAGCCTTTCTTCCCCATACTGCTTTTTGGAAACGTAACCGGTGTGTCCTCCCGTTCTCGGTCGCTTTGCTGAATAGCGTCCGTTCGTTCGTGAGATGTAGGGGCGCCGCGGAGAGCTCTGTTAGACGCTGAACGGGAGTTTTATTAAACGCAACGTTTCCGTTTTCCGCAGTACGATCCTGGAGGAAGAGAAGCTGCAGCAAGAGGAACGGATGCGAATGGAGTCCAGGCGGCAGGTCACCGTGTCCTGGGACTCGGGAGGCTCCGATGAAGCCCCTCCCAAGGTAGCTAAGGCAGCAGACTGCAAAGTATTTGTTAAAACATCCAAAAAAAAAAAAAAAAAGGAAAATCAAATCTTTGTAAAGCAGCAGGAACTGGGTTGATGGAGAATTTAGACAGCCCTGACCATCCTATGGGGATTAATTCCCCAGAGGAGCATTTGTGGAGATTGCAAAATGCCAAGTTTCTCTAAGATCTGGAAATAATTTGTGTGTTGGTACGTAATATTTAAAATGAGCTAATTCATCTTTCTGGTAATTCCCATGAAGAGCACCTTTTGAGGCAGATGACTCAGTGCTCCAAAGCTGGATGTGGTTTCTTTGGGGACTGGCGATGGGGACAGTAGACTCCCCGGGGACCTGGGCCTCTACGGGACAAGGATGATTCACAGGAACTGTCACTCGTTACTAGAAGTGAACTAGGAAGCTGGGGGATGCAGCATCTCTCGGGTAATGAAGTCCTGCAAATGCAGCAAAAGTCGTTGATCCAGAATAAATCAGAGGGGAAAGAAAAACTGGGGAAGATGTAGTTCGGTGATTTCAAAGCAAACTGGTGCAGAGCCTCCTGTCGATCCAGTTTTTGTGTCGTCTTGGTGGCGGCATCTGAGCCTCTTCGGGATGAGACGCCCAAATTACCGCGAATTGCTGTTAGCAAGGTAGAGCTGCCAGTTACCAAGGAGAGACCGTATGTTGTCAGTTTGCATGCACGGTTTGCGCAGATGTAAAGAGAAATATTCTGTAAATACAGCTGGGAGAGCGTGGCCCCAGAAGGAGAGCCGCCAGAAAGAGCTTCGCAGCTGCACGGAGCTGCGTGAGCAGGGCTGTCTGCGGGACCCCCGTCTGGGGTGCCCGGGCTGCGACTCAGTTTATTTGAAAAGATGCAGACCAGAAACTGCTGAAAATATCCCAGGTGATGAAAGGCTGCTACCCCTGGAAAAATTATCCTTGGAAAACGGCGTAAGAGATAAAATAAGCGGAGATGTGTTGGTGGATGTGACTTACGAGGGGTTGTTTTTTTTGCAATGTGGCTTTGCTGTATCAGCTTCCAATCTTTGCTTATTTACTCATACATTATTTAACAACTTTGATAAATGTTGTTCTGCTTTTTAAAGGCTGCTGGGTTTAAGCAAGCCAGTTAAGGGTGAGTTCTTGGAAGAATATCCTGCAAGTTTCATTCTTGTAAACAGTAAATAAAATCGGTTACTCTTTTGCTTAAAGAAATTAATATTTACTGTTCGGAAGAATGGAAGGACTTTTTTTCCCAAGACCTTTAAACACAAGGGCGGACAGTATTTTTTGGAAAAATCATAGCTGCTTCCCATGGATATCTCAAGTCCCTGGGCCGGGCAGGGGGAGGCAAAGAGGCTGCCCCGGGAGTTGGTGGCGCGGGTCTGGACCGCTTTTTTCCCCGCGATGTCCCATCGCGTCCAGCCGCCCCGCCGTGCCCAGGCCTGCTCCGCTCTCGCCTCTGTCCCCGCCAGAAACTCGGTCTCATGTTTCATCGATGCTGCGGGCTGCCAGAGCCGCTGCAGCCGAGCTGCTGAAATACACTCCTGCCCTTGCTCATGATACAGGCTTTTCCGTTTATTAAAAACGACGACGGCGAGAAGAGGATCTTTCAGCTTGCCTTTTGCTCAATTGTTTCCTTTTACGGTGAGCAAAACCGTATTTCAACAACACGCGTGGAATTGCAAACGCGGGCACAAGGCTCAATGCAGAAGCAGCGCCGGGGCTTTCGGGGCGTCAGCCACCCTTTGGAAGCGGTGAGCGTTGCCCAGATACTTCGCTATCTTTTTCCTTTTCCTTATTCTTCGCGGTTCGCTCGGTCATGCTAAAGCAGCGGGGCTGGTGTGTGTGTGTGTGTGTGTTTTGGGAACGTCAGTGCCAGGCGAGCTTCGGAAACAAACCGCAGCGGGTAATAAATCTCCCGTCTTCCAGCAAACGCCCAGCCCTGGAAAAGGGGATGCGATCGAGGTTCCCCGGGTGCCAGACCCCCGATGGTGCCCAGGC